CATCATTACTTCAGTAAACTCTAATCTACGACCAAAGTCATCTTCACTTAATTCTTGCAATAAGTTAATTTTGTATGATTTAAATTTATTTTTACGTAATAAACCTAAGACTGAAGAATGACCTACATCATGTACTTGTACAACCCTGCCTGGAGATGTATGTAGATCTTCAACAAAACTTTGCTTATATCTGAAGTTTTGTTGTCATTGATAACTCGTTTCGGTCAACCTGATCGGTATCTATCTTTTACTTCTCTAGATTCCTCAAATCGCCTTACAGTTTTTTGTACCGTCGTCTTATGAATAGAGAACGGTTTAGAGAACGGCATTTTAGAGAAGCAATTTAAATTGCAGAACTTTTTGAACCACAACTACTGTCAATTGTAGTTCATAATTTAAATGGTCAACAAATGTCAAAATCACAGCATTCTCCGTTTAAATATTTAAATTTATTAAAATCTACATACATATTTTGCACTGTTTTATGTATCTAAGATCTTTCAGACTACATAAAATCAAGTGAACATATGGTTGAACTCGTATTGAATAGCTGAACTCGTGTGAAATTTACACTGAATGCGTGAAAACCATACTCAAAGACCACAAAAATTAAATGTATGGTCAGTTATAGTGGGTACTTATTTAATTGGGTCATTTTTTATCGAAAGAAATTTAACGTCAGATAGTTGGTGTAAATGTTCGGCGTTATTTAGATGAGTTATTTCCCGGACGATAAATTGGTAGACAAGGTAGAATTGAATGGCCTCCACGTTTACCCGCTCTCAATCCTAAAGATTATTTTTATTAGAGATACTTGAAAAATTCAGTTTACAAAACTTAACCAGCAAGTCTTGCATAGCTAAGGTAATGAATTATCGATGAATCTCGAATAATTTCTAGCCAATCATGGAGAAATGTGGTAGACGCATTCTACCATCGATTAGAGTGCTGGCAACTCACAAATGGAGCACATTTTGAACACTTAATAACGTAACTATTATGTTAAAAAATATTCTAAACTATCAATTGTTATGTTTTAATGTATTTGAAAATAGTTAGTTTTAAAAAATTTATTGAAACAATTTAGGCGTTGCCCGACTTCTGTTTTATGTATTTAAGACCTTCCAGACTACATAAAATCATAAGTGTTAAATATGGTTGAACTCGTATTTAATAGGAGAATCCAATAATGACTGAATATACAGGGTGATGTATTTGAAAAACCAAAGTTACTAGTAATATAAGAGAAACTGAAAATCTGGCAACATTGCAAATACCAAATATAGAATCTCCGTATCATAAAATAGGCGTATCTCAAATTTTGTCTAATTATGTCTAGCAATTTACGAGATAATTAGCCGTTTCCAGACTTTTGGGCCAGTCTGTATACCTAAGAAACTTGAAACTTGATAAATTGTACGCGACAAAAATTTCATACGAAAAACAAATAAACTATGAATGTACTGTGAGAAATTGCTGTAATGAACGGGCTATTTATACTCGATTTTGTCTACTAATTATCTGAGGTGAGTACTGAGTGGAAGCTAAGAACTGCTCAATTCCGGAAATAATAAAATGTCTAGATTTTACTCTCTCTCGCTATGCAGGGCTCTACCGCTAGTAAACATTCATACCCTAGCATATCGTAGAGCAATAATGGACTAGAAACAAACAAACAAATTCGTTCCAATCATGCAGAAGGTATAGAATTGTGAGTATTCAAGAAAACCGCAAAAAATCACAGCGACATTCGACAGAAATTCAGCCAGCGAGTATAAACATCGTAACGTAAGTATCTGTAGAAGAAAGCATCGACCTGAAAGACGTAAAACAACAAGCACTAAAACTTCTGCAAAGGTAACAAGCATATATGTAGGAAATACAAAAAAGGTCTTTCATCTTGCAGCATTAAATAATCTACGAGATTAAATTTAGTCCTTAAATCTATAATCTGCAAATAGTGGCTGCACTTCATATTATCTCTTCTACAAACCTTCCAAAGGACATGGTATACCATAAAGAAGTATAAACCTTTAAAAGAACTGCCTGATAGTTTTGATCAATAAAGAAGGATCAAGATTAATTTTCTGAAATGATAGACATAGGGCAGTAGCCATGTCGTTACTGATCAAAGCTGTAGTGGAATGATTTCTGCGGTTGGCTTGATATCAGTCACTTACGGGCGAATACCACATAATAATTCAACCGGCCGTAACGCTGCGATCAGACAAGCAAGGAGAACTTATCTGGTTATCTTCGCACGAGGGTATACTCCAAATGAATGAATACCGTAACACAAAAAGGAGAGATTCCATAAGATCTGGGAAGGAATCAACGCTGAGCTAGTTCCAGGTTTCCAGGCTAGACAATTTAAAATGTGTCACCTGAAACGAGCACGCAAATAACCAGGCAACTTATGGTAAAACAGCGACTGAAAGAGAAAGCAAAACACAGAAGCTTCAGAGTATAAAATTCGATAAATATAGGGACATAAAACGTCAGAGATATTCTCCAAACTGTAAAACTTCACATACTGAATAAAGAGCTAACAAAATATAAACAAGGCAAAACATAAACACATTGTGTGGTCTAGCACAAATATACTGGAGAGATCAAAGATATTCTAAAACAAAAAACCATACTATCTGCATATCAGGATCATAAAACATAGGAGAAAAACATTAAAATTAGTATTTATAACATTAACCTAAAAAATTTATATGTCATTCAGGTATTTATGCCCACAACAGATGCCCCAAATGAGAATATTGACATTGACATTTACAACAACATGGAAAATATCTTGAAGAAAATCTCATAAAAAGAGTCAGTATATATTATTTAAGACTTTAATGCTAAGGTGGGAAAAATTGCAAATGAACCACATTTAAGAGATATTGTCGGTCATTTGACTTGTGCATTAGAAACAACAGAGAAGAATATAAACAATAAGGTAGAGAAGGACAAATATAAAATAACAAATATTGTCGAAGACTTCTGCACATCCTTGTACAGCTCGCAAAGCCAGCTTAATGAAACAACAAAGGAGAACGTCAAAAGAAAAATAAAAAACGTGGGATCAAAAGTAATACCAAATATAAAGGGATACGAAATAGAAAGAGCTTTAAAAAAACTAAAAAATAATAAAGCTCCAGGACACGATGGTATAATTGCCGAGCTCTTGAAAACAAGCAAGACATTCCCAATCCCTCTACTAACAGAGCTATTTAATAGATGTCTCCATAATAGCCAGATCCCTAAAGACTGGAACGAGAGTCTAGTAATACTCTTACACAAAAAAGGGACAAATGTGATCTACAGAATTATAGACCTATATCGTTGCTCAGTCAAGTATACAAACTATCTATGAGAATTATTAATAACCGGTTAACCTACAAAATGAATAATTACCAACTGGTTGAACAGGCTGGCTTCCGCAAAGGATATAGTACATCAGACCATCTGCTGACAATGAGAACATTGATAGAGAAGGCAAATGAATACCAACTACCAGTATTTCTTGCCTTCGTCGACTATAAAAAGGCGTTTGATAGTATCGAGATGTGGGCCATAGAACAAGCTATTAATAATTGTAGAATAGACTCGAGATATAGGCAACTAATACATAATATATATGAAAATGCAACTATGATAGTACAACTAGACGAAAATACAAATCCCATCCCCATTAAGAGAGGAGTGAGACAAGGAGACGTAATATCGCCAAAGCTTTTCAACCTAGCCCTAGAAGACGTCTTCAAAACTACAAATTGGTCAACCTATGGCATTAACGTTAATGGCAATAAGTTAAACCACCTCAGATTCGCTGACGACATAGTGATTATAGCGAGCACATTCGAGGAACTGCAAATCATGTTGGGGGAACTAGCAGCCAGCTCCCAATACGTCCGCCTAAAAATTAATATGAAAAAAACAAAAATAATGACAAACACAGATGACCCCAGACATATAACTATAAACGGCAGTGAGATAGAACAAATCCAGGAATATATCTACCTAGGCCAAATCCTGAGACTTGACAAAGAAAACCAAAGTGCGGAAATTTCTAGAAGAGCAAGGCTAACATGGGCAGGATTTGGAAAACTTAGTTGGATACTTAAGAACCGCAAAATACCCCAATACTTGAAGAGCAAAGTGTTCAACCAATGTATACTTTCTATCATGACATATGGATGTCAAACCTGGACCCTAACCAAGGCAAACATGAATAAACTAGCCACAACAGAAAGAACAATGGAAGGAGCAATGTTAGGTATACGACTGTCAGATAAAAAGAGGAACGACTGGGTAAGGTCCAAAACAAAAGTCGAGGACATAACAATAAAAATTGCAAAACTTAAATGGAGCTTCGCGGGGCATACTGCTAGACGGAAAGACCAACGTTGGAATACTACAATACAACATTGGAGACCTTACGAAAGTAAACGACCAAAAGGAAGACCACAGATGAGATAAGTTGATGACATTAGAAGAATAGCCGGAACAAATTGGAAATATGTTGCCTAGGATAGAAACCGATGGAAGGAGTTGGGAGAGGCTATGTCCAAACATAGACGACAGAAGGCTAAGAAGAAGAAGAAGAAGAACCATAAACAGGAAGTAATCATTTTATTAAACCTAAATAAAATTTATAAACTATTAATTTCCGGAACCTACTTAATATATCTATCTACGTTTATAGAAGCCCAGCAGTCATTCTCAGCTGCATCTCACACCAGAAATTGCCCACATATACAACAAAAAATTTTTAAAAATACCCATCAAAACCTCTTGAGGGATATGTACATTACACCTTTTCTTTTTTTGTTTAACACCTGGTGAAAATAATTGAAATATACGATAATACCAATAATATTAACGTTAATTTACATTGTCTTAGCTTTAATAAATATTTAAAGAGTATGGAATCAAACGAGATTTACTAGATATGACAGAAATACAGTTAATCAATACATTGTCTTCGCTGGTATATTGCTTACCTGTCGCGGACAATTGGCTGGTAGAATTACTTTTTTTACTAAGACCAACAAACTGTCCCGTTCTGTCCCTATCTCGATCCCGTGGACCATCTTTCCTTCCCATATCTTTTTGAGGAACTTCAAGGCCATGCAGATGACTTACAGCAGTATCACTTAAGCTTCCATCTAAAAAATGAAAACAAAAAAGTAATAATTTAATAACCACAAATACGTTTTTGGGCGTAGAGAATTTTTTTTGGCCTCGACTTCTCTAGCCAGACACAAAAGGAATAAAACAGTAACAATATCTATTATTATTCTAAATTTTCTAACACACAAATTATGAACAGGGACACAAATTTTCTAATCTAGGAATCTATTTAGTCAGGTTTATAAAAGATATTCAACACTAGGTCACGGAAAGACGAAAGTTTCAAGTACAAATGGTTTAAGACTAAGGTAAATAAGATTAATTGATGGATTCGACCGTTACTTGATGGAAATTCATTTTATGTAACAATAAAACACTGAAAACTTTGTTTTCAAACTTCCACAAAATTTATTTTAAATCTTATCACTACAGCTGTTTCGGCTGATTGCCTTTCTCAAGTGATCTATTTTTGGGTTGGGTTTACAAATTTATAGTCTCTAATGAAATAGGTTGAGGAGGGGAGAACTGTTTGTCTCAAGTTGGTCATTCAGAATTATATCTGTGTTTTTTAATTTGTTGATTTCCATAGATTCTAACAAAGAGAGCTTAAGGCCTTTATTTTGACTGTGAAGAATTTTAAATTTGTCATTAAAAGAATGATTATGATCTAGAAGGTGAAGTGCGTATGTCGAATCTGTTTTTCTATTCTTGAAAGCCCTTTTATGTTCTGCTATTCGTTTATCAAAGTTTCTACCAGTTTGACCGATGTAATTTTTTGGGCAGTCGCCACATTGAAGTTTGTACACACCACTATTTAAGTGTTTTTTATTTTGGCTCTTGTTATTTTTAATATATTTGCCTAGGTTGTTATTTGTTCGAAAAGCTGGTGTTATTCCTTTCTTTTTTATGTGTTTGGCAATTTTTGTTGTTATTTTGCCTGTATATGTAATCGAGCAGAATGTACTGGGTTTTTTCTCTAGTGGTGAAAATACTAATTTCAGGGCTTTCTTGTGTAGTTTTTGATTTAACATTTTATTAATTGTTTGTTCGTTGTATCCGTTGTTTACTGCTATTTGCTTAATTATATTTAATTCTGTCTCAAAGTCGTATTTTGACATCGGAATATCTGTTAATCTATGTAACATACTATGATAAGCTGCCAGTTTATGCTGTGTTGGATGGGATAATGAATTGTGTATAGTCGTGTCAGTATGGGTAGGTTTATGAAATAAGGAGAAGTCATGTTTGTTTTGAAGTCTGCTAATTTTTAAATCTAAAAAAATTATGGATTGATTTTGTTCTGTTTCTATTGTATATTCAATATGACTATGAAGTGAATTAATATACGATAAAAAAGATAATATAATCGATAAAAAATTCAATACACAGTGTAAAAAACTAAATAATATAAATTTAACAGATACTAAATTTAGTAACAGCGAGATACAACTTTTAGAGAAAGGATTTAAACACAACTTGCCCCAACATAATAATGAGAGAACTTTAGAATATTTAGGTGTAGAATGTGAAGTAGCGTTAAACAAAACTGCTAACAATATCGAAAAAAGTATAATTGCCAAATCTATTACATGTGTGTAGTGAAACTAAGAATTCCTATTACAAAGAGAATAAAACAGCAATTTCAATTAAAAATAAATCAATAGAAAACAACATTGTGTTTTACAAAGACAAAGGTAACACTACTATTGCTATAGATAAAATAGAATATAATAACAAAACAATAGAATTCTTAAATAATCAAAATATTGAAACTTTACACAAAGTTCCAAAAGAAAAATATAAAAAACAAATTAAGCTAGCGTTAGAAAATTCAAAAGCAATACTAAATCCAATAGAACAGAAATACCTAAATATCATGAACCCACAGCCTCCTAAATTATACTCTTTCATTAAACTACACAAACCGGATCACCCAATAAGACCTGTAGTTTCTTTTTATACAGCTCCGTCATATAAACTTTTAAAAAAACTGTTAGAGATTATTTTAGAACACACTAAATTTTCACCTAAATTTACCATAAAAAATACAATACAACTAGTTAATAAAATACATTTTCAATTACCTAACAACTCCAGATTAATTTCATTTGACGTAAAAAATCTTTTTCCTAGTATCCCTCCTACAGAAACTTTTATTCTAGTAAAAAACCTTTTAGACCAAAATAGTACAAATCCAATAATTACATCTGAAATTTTACATATTCTTGAAATTTGCATAAACCAGGACTACTTTGAATTTAATAATAAAATGTATACAAATAACAGTGCAGGAGGCAATCCTCTAAGCCCATTGCTATCAGATATTTTTATGGATCATCTAGAGACAAAGATTTCAAAACATCCCGTATTCAAACACTTTGTATATTGGTGGAGATACAACAGAAACAGAAAAAAATTAATCCATAAATTTTTTAGATTTAAAAATTAGCAGACTTCAAAACAAACATGACTTCTTCATATTTCATAAACCTACCTATACTGACACTGCTATACACAATTCATCAACCCATCCAACACAACATAAACTGGCAACTTATAATAGTATGTTACATAGATTAACAGAAATTCCGATGTGAAAATACAACTTTGAGACAGAATTAAATATAATTAAGCACATAGCAGTAAACAACGGATACAACGAACAAACAATTAATAAAATGTTAAATCAAAAACTACACAAGAAAGCCCTGAAATTAGTATTTCCACCACCAGAGAAAAAACCCAGTACATTCTGCTTGATTACATATACAGGCAAAATAACAACAAAAATTGCCAAACACATAAAAAAGAAAGGAATAACACCAGCTTTCCGAACAAATAACAACCTAGGCAAATATATTAAAAATAACAAGAGCCAAAATAAAAAACACTTAAATAGTGGTGTGTACAAAATTCAATGTGGCGTCTGCCCAAAAACTTACATCGGTCAAACTGGTAGAAACTTTGATAAACGAATAGCAGAACATAAAAGGGCTTTCAAGAATAGAAAAACAGATTCGACATACGCACTTCACCTTCTATATCATAATCATTCTGTGACGTCCTCTCGTAGGAGTCACTATCCGGGTAGCTTTTGGACAGTCAGAGACAGAGTTCAAAATAAAAATAAAACTTTATTGTCTTCCTTAAATTAAATTGACAAAAATCTTATGTACATATTTACAATTTAGTTTAGTCTTCTCAGTACCTGGCCTATTTATTCAAATTAAGTTTGACCTTGTCGTATGAAATTAGTGTTATCGGCAATCAAGTGTGTTTTCGGAATTTTACGTGAACGATGTGTCGATTTAATAACAGCGGACGATAGGTACAAAGGAAAGAAAGAAACTCAACACGTCCCTCAAGTGATTCGGGTTAATAGGATACTCCTCGACAGTCTCAACACGACTGCTTCGGAGTACGGGTAATGGAGAGCTCAACACGCTCTCCGGCTGGCGGTATGGAACGGAAACAACTTGTGAACTCAACACGTCCACAAGCCGGGGTAGGGGAGAAGAGAACCTTCAGTCAACACCTGACGATTCTGCCTCTATGAGGAAATAATGCGGTTTATATAGCAAAGTTTTGCCCTTTCTACTGTCGATACACTCCTACTTCATGGGTTGGTTCGCGCGCACGCTGGTTTAACGGTGATGGCTTGGACTCATCGTTACACCCCCTCTTCCTGGGAAAAAAAAATTTTGGAACAAAATTTTTTTATTTTTATTCCTTGCCAGGTACTTGGTTACCCTAAAAAACAATTTACAATACATCGAAATAAAAAATGTCCGCCCTAAAAAAAAAATAAATATCGTCTTCTTAAAAAAAATCGTCTTCCTCTCTCTTAAAAAAACGTCTTCCTTCGTGGGGCTTTAATTATTGGTTTTTATCCTCAGCACCTGGTTCGGGAGTCTCAGTCTGTATTTTTTTCCTTTATGCTGCGGCGGAATTAGTGAGAGCAGCGGGATTGACACTGGAATTGACTGGACTTTCTGAATTTTTGTGATGCCCATGGTTGGTTCATCGAAAAGGTTTTTAAATTTGGAAATAGCCTTTATCAGAGGCTCGCAGCCTTTGCCCGGGGTGTTAGGTTTTGGTGTGTTCCCCAATGGTGATATTAACTCTGGAACGGTGTATGGTGGCGGCGTAACTGTGCCGTCCATTTCTATGTCACTGTAATATATTTCTAACGTGTCTGACATTATACTTGAAGGTTACTGGTAAACTGTATTAAAATATACTGTCACTACTTGGTGTTGACTGTAAGTGCTTGGACTGATTAAGGAGTAGGGAAATCGGTAAATGCGGGTTTTAGGTCTTTGATATGAGCTGTTATTGTACGGTTTTTATCGTCGTGTTTTAATTTGAATATTACATTAGAACACACTTTTGTTATAGTATATGGGCCTGAAAATTTCGGTGCTAATTTGGCGTTAAAATTTTTGGCGGCATTTGAGAGTTGGTATTCCCTTTTCATGACTTTGTCGTTTATTGTCGGTTTCCACTCTCTTCGTCGTAAGTTGTAGTAATGGCTTTGAGTTGTAAAAGCTTTTGCCAGGTTTGTACGTACTAGTTCGAATGTTTCTTGTAGTTTATGCCATTTTATGTTTTGATCGGTATGTTGTGTGTCGTTTGGGGTTTTTACGACTTTACTTGGAATTTCTAGTTCGTGTCCAAAGTTCAGGAAGGCTGGGGAGAAACCCGTTGAATCGTGTTTAGCTGTATTATATGCGAATAGTAGTTCTGGAAGGCTCGTGTCCCATTTCTTATGGTTATTATCGCAGAACTGAGCTATCATTGTTTTGATTACTCTGTTTGTTCTTTCTACTGGATTATTCTGGGGTGAATATGGCGGAATGTTTCTTTTAGAAATCTGGAATTCATCTAGTAACTTTCGTACTTCCCTGTTATCGTATGTTCTTGCGTTGTCTGATATTAGCTCTTTGGGTGATCCGAATCTCATAATGATTTTATCTTTTAAGTTTTGACAGACTGATTTTGCCGTTGCTGTTCTGATCGGTATGGCTTCGACCCA